GGACGGAGGTGGCGGTGTGGAAGGGAAAGGGAGAAAATAAAATAAAATGAAAAACGAGGCAGGACTTGCATGACTTTGACAGGTTGTGGTATGGGCGGGGAGAGGCAGGGATGAGGCGCGGAGCCCGGTGTCGCCCAGGGCCGGAGCAGCACTCCGGGGAAGTTGGCCTAGGTTTCCTGCGCGGGGTGTGAGTGCATCTGCCGCCCCCCCCCCCGCCATCCCATCCCTCCCCACATCCCCTCCTCTCCCCCCGTTTTCGTGCCGATTCGTAAGGAACCGGTGGATCAAGTTTTTCTCTCTCTCTCCCCGCTGGTTAATCGCATTGCTGTAGCACCGGCTGACCTCCCTCCCTCCCTCTCCCTCTCTTTTTTTTTTTTGTTTTGTTCTTCATCTTCCTTCAAAGTATGTGCCATTCCTGAGCGAGTTTCCCCGCCGGCTCATCCCCGGGGCTGCCCGGCTCCCCGGCTCCGCATGCCCCACCTGTAAGTGCCGGGGGCGGGTTTCTTTCCCCTCTCCCCCCCTCTTCTCTCTCCCTCTCTTCTTAAAAAATATTTTTTAAACTTTCCCCATCTTGTTCTGTCTCCAGCGCGAGCAAAACTCTCTCACGCCATTCGTTGTGGAGAGGGAGGTTTAGCAGCTGGGATTTGCCATCACCAGCCTAAAAATGGTGACCAAACTTTTTCTTTCCCCCCTCCTCTTCCTCCTCCTCCCCCCCTTGAAGAAATAAAAAATTAAAATCAAACCATGTTTTAATTTCGGTTATGGATGTTTCTGCTTTTCTTTTTGTCTTCCTTTCTCTTCCTCCTCCCTTCCTCCCCTTTCTTTCCTTCCACTTCATTGGCTGGGATGATCTTTCCCTGTTGCTTCTGATGTTTCTTTCTTTTTCTCAGTGTGTGCCTGCCTACCTGGACTAGGGGGAAGATAAGGTAATTTTGAAGGGCTTGAGGAAGCGGCTTACCTGTTTTGAAAACTTTTTTTTTTGAGATCTCTTTTTAAGAGTCTTGTGAAAATCAGTAATTGAAGAGAGTTTAGTAGCAGCTGGGCAGGTTGAAATTTAAGTGTTATGTGCTGAATGCCTTGGGAATTTGATCTGCTTTATACCAACGAAGAGCACAGAGAAAAGTATTTATTTATTGGGGGAAGGGGGGGGAGAGAGGAAAGTGGGTTAAGGGAGGGGGAGGGAAGTGGTTTTGGAGACAAGAAGTGAAGCTGCCTGTTTTCCAGTAAGTAATGGAGAAATTCCAGGAGCCAGGGCTAAATATACTTGGCGATCAATACAGAAATGGCTCATTGTGAATAATTTAGCTGCCTGGTGCAGTGAGAGTTTTGAAACTAAAGGCAAAAAAGAGACCGTGGAGGGAGAGAGGAAATAAAATTGTCCTCTGGTCATGTCATATTCTTAACTTTTCCACTTAAAGGAACATAGTTATGATTATTGATCTCTCTCTTCCCCCCCCCCCCCCCCAAATATATAAAATGATAACAGGGGGGGGTCATTTCTTAAA